GGGAAAGAGAGGCGCGTGTGTGCGTCTTAAGTCCCGTCTCACGCTTTGTAGACAGTCGAAGCCGCTGCTCACTTGAGAAAACACCGTGATCATTATTTCATAACTGTGTGGACTGTAAAGTACCACAAGTCACAGCCACCGCTGAGGCTCTAGGAGGTGATAATTAACCTTTGATTAACCAACCAGCCCCAAGAGAAGGCAATGGATTAAGTTGAAATCAAAGAAGCAAAAGGAAAATTGCAGAGCGAACTGGGACCTTCTGCTATATAGTAGGATCTTGTTTGTGGGGAATGCATTTCTAGGGGGAATATGGTGCTATATTAAAGGCAGCAGAATGGGAAGACGGTTTTCCAGCAGCTCCAAAATGTTCCTGCCTTGGAAAAGATGCTGTTTCTCCTACTAGTCTGGGAGGTATACAGGTTTGCAGTAATAATGGTAGTGGATGCAGATTTAGGCAGCTGTCCTATGCACACTAACATTGGGGAAGTCATATTGAACAGATTGGGACTTACTTGAGAATATTATGTGTAAGATTTACCTCCATGCTTGAGAGGAGAGGAATGGGGCGTAACAACAGGATCTCAGTTAATTACTCTTAGCACTCCACAAATAAGGATACATTTACATATTAGTCTCCTATTTTAATATGTTTATTTACTTCACTGTGTTTCCCCACCCCTAATTAAATCCAAAGAAATGGTGACAATATAAATGTAGCCTGTTATTCCTGTTTGGTCTTTGCATCTGTTAAAACGTCTTCAATATGTTGTATGCTAATTTGCTATTCGATCTCTGCCTATATATATGGACTCTTGACTTCCATTTCAGTGTATCTGAGGAAGTGTGCGTGCGCAGAAAAGCTCATACCTTGCCCCTGAACTCAAACTTTGTTAGAAGCAAACACGTAGCGACGTTTTGCTGTTCAGGGGGAAAACATTATCAAAATCCTTTCCCTGTAACTTAACAGCCTGCGAGCCGTACATCAAAGTATTTTATAAGTAATCTATAACTGCATAAATATGACTAAATCACATGTGCGATTTTTTAAAATCTTGCCTGACAATAAAATCTTTAGTTTCTGTTCTGAAATGTTCTGTAGATGGTTAGTCCAGGGAGGAATATATTGGTTATGAAATGAATTATAACAGGGGCAATTAAAACGGATATGGATAACTGAGTCAACTTGATCTTTACAATAAATACAAAAATATTTCTCAGGGAGGGGGGGGTTCCTACTAAAGCTCAAAAAAGCTTTTTGAGCCGTGAGTTTTAACCTTGATTATTTTACTGAGTTTTATTGTTTTCAGGCAAGAAGCGGCCAAAGGGCCTTAGACGGCTAGCATCGGAAGCTTAGCAAGACAGGCGGGAAACTAATGGCCACCGGGCGTTCTATTGGTTACCCCAGTTAATAAGCGCATTGTTAATGTTGATCAGACATGGACGTGTATTTTAAATGAGCTTTTCCAGTTTTGTAGCCCTAGAACTTCCTGAGTGTCATCAGGACTTAGACGGAAACTATGAATAATCATGTTTTGAACACACTGCTTATCCAAAGCCAGAGTAAATGCAGCCTATCACTGGTGGAGCGCATGTAAGAGACAGAAGGTCACTGAGAAGAGGCTGCAGACTTGTTGTGCAAGGGCATTGCTGTCCCCCCCAAAAAAAAATCTTGGAGGAGACCCCTTCAGTTAAAACGGGTCTTGAAGTCAGAGCTGCCATGCCCTCCCGGGGGAGGAGTGGTGGATCCCTCACTCCCAGGTCCCGTTGCCCCCACCACCACTGGGAGTGGCGGCAGAAGAACAATTAAAAAGAAGAACGAGGCCTTGTCTGCATACAGGAAGTTCTTACCATAGAGTTCCTGGCGAGTCCTAGAGCTACCCTGAAATGACAAAGGGTAACTTTAGGAATTGTTGGAAAGACTATGGTAAGAACACTTCAGAGTTTCTGGTAATTCCTAGAGCACCTTTTGTCACTTCCAGGTAGCTCTCTAGGGTTCCCAAGTTATTTTTTCGCCACAGTGGGGGACTCCTGTCTTGTGGCTGGAGCGTGCGCATGCCGCATCCACGTCACCCAAAAGTGACGTGGGCACACTGGGGGCGGGGCCACGACCATCTGAGGGAAAACCATAGAGTTTTCCCTTGAATGACCGTGGTCCCGCCCCCAGTGTGCCCGGCGTGGTCGCATCACTTCCGGGTAACGTGTACGTCGAGGTGGAGTTCCCTCCGGGGCCCAATCCGCCGGCGGCGGGGAACGGGCCTCTGGGGTGGGGGTTTCCATGCCCCCCGGGGGACTTGGCAAGCCTATAGCTCTCAGAATTGCTAGGAACTCTATGGTAGGAACTTCCTGTAAGTAGATGAAGCCTTATTTTTCCTTTAAATGTTTCTCCTGGGATTCTGCCACCCCAGAATCTTTCCGCTGCCTGGCAACCCAACTTTAAATGGAGAAGTCATCTGCAGGTCTAACACGGGTTGGACATCTCATAGGGTTACCAGTCCCAAGGTCCGGGCAGGGGGTTCCTCTGGTTTTTGTGACTTCTGCCCATTGCCAGGTAGCTGGCCAGTGGGGTAAACCCCACCCCCAGACAGGGATGCCGCTGTGCAACATCCCCAACACAATAATGTTGCCTGGAAGTGATGTCATCATGTTGGGAATGTTGCACAGCGACGCTCTGGTTTGAGGGCAAAACTCTCTGGTTTGAAGCCAGTTTTACCATAGAGTTTTGCCCAAAAACCAGAGCATGGCCCCCGATATCACCGACATGATGACATCATTGATGCGGCTGCGATTAGGCGGCTCGGCAGTGCTCTTGCTGGTAGATCCGGGGGTTCCCCTGGTTTTTGTGACTTCTGCCCATTGCCAGGTAGCTGGCCAGTGGGGTAAACCCCACCCCCAGACAGGGATGTCGCTGTACAACATCCCCAACATAATGGTGTTGCCTGGAAGTGAAGAGGGTGGTGGTGATACAGCTACAGGGCTTTCTGGATGACGCTTCCGTCTTAGACCCTTTCCAGTCTGGCTTTCACCCGGAATATGGGACGGAGACTGCACTGGTCGCCTTGACTGACGACCTCCGGAGACATCTGGATCAAGGCGCTGCAGCACTGTTGTTGTTAGTTCTGTCGGACACGTTTGACATGGTTGACCACCAGTTGCTGACCCGCCGCCTTGCCAACGTGGGGATACAGGGGCTTGCCTTGCAATGGCTTGCTTCCTTTCTCCGAGGTCGGGGACAAAGGGTGGTGCTAGGGGAACAGCAGTCCCGGAGGCACTCGCTTGAGTGCGGAGTGCCTCAGGGGGCGGTGCTGTCCCCGATGCTCTTTAACATCTATATGCGCCCCCTTACCCAGATAGCCTGGAGGTATGGGTTGGGGTGTCATCAATACGCTGATGACACTCAGCTCTCTCTGATGTTGGGCGGCCAGTCGGGCTCCAGACCGGAAGATCTGGACTGGGCATTGCACGTCATGGCTGGTTGGCTCAGGCTGAGTTGGCTGAAGCTTAAATCCGGCAAAGACGGAGGTCCTGTGCCTGAGTCGGGGCGGCTCGGGGCTTGGGCTCCCATTCCCGGCCTTCGATGGGGCACCATTGGTGCCTGCGTCAGAGGTTAGGAGCTTGGGAGTGCTCCTGGATCCCTCATTGACGATGGAGGCCCAGGTTGCAGCCACTGCTAAGTCGGCCTTTTACCATCTTCGGCTGGTTCGGCAGTTGCCCCCGTACCTCGTTCGCGACGACCTGGCCGACGACCTGGCTACAGTGATCCATGCGATGGTCACCTCAAGATTAGACTACTGCAACACTCTCTACATGGGGCTGCCCCTGTCCCAAATCCGGAGGCTGCAGCTAGTGCAGAATGCTGCGGCCAGGCTGCTGATGTGTATCCCTAGACGGGAGCATATTCGGCCTGTGCTGAAGGCACTGCACTGACTGCCAATAGCATACCGGATTCGCTTCAAGGTGCTGGTACATACCTTTAAAGCCCTATATGGCCAGGGTCCGACATACCCGAGGGACCGTCTTTCCCCATATATACCCCAGAGAGCACTACGGTTGGGGTCGCAACATCGACTAGTCATCCCAGGCCCCAAGGAGGCTGGGCTCGCTGCCACCAGGGCCAGGGCCTTTTCTGTGGCGGCTCCTTACTGGTGGAATGAGCTCCCGGAGGAGATCAGCGCCCTGGGGGATCTTCTGCAATTCCACAGGGCCTGCAAGACGGAGCTCTTCCACCAGGTCTTCAATTAGGAGCCACCCACCACTACCATTAACGTCCACTATTAACATCGGTGGCGTTGGGCTGGCCGTCGTTGAAAGTGAGCCATATTAGCTTGATATGCTGGGAGACCACAGAGCTGGGTGCTTGGATGCCACACCGTATGGTACGCCATCTTGATTTAATAACACGGTGAGCACTTTAATTGTAAATCGGTTTGTTTGTTTTCAATGGTTTTCGCTGTTTTCTATGCACTCGGTACACTGTGCCAAGTACTGTATTTTCCGGTGTATAAGACTACTTTTTAACCCAGGGAAATCTTCTCAGAAATGGGGGGTCGTCTTATACCCCGGTAAATACGGTACTCTGGTCTTTCTATCGCTTTCAGTAGTACATGCTGCGCTTTGAGCGTAGCAAACAACCGAAAAACAAAACAAGTATATCCCAAACTCTATATTTTAACTGGAAAAGTTGGGGGTCGTCTTATACGCCCAGTCGTCTTATACGCTGGAAAATACGGTAATTTAAGCTGCCCCGAGCCTGCTTGTGGGGAGGGCGGGATAAAAATACCACAAATAAATAATCAATAAACAAATTTATGGGTGATGTCATCACGTCGGGGATGTCCCGGAACGTCCCCGGATTCCCCGCCAGTGCAACGAAGGGTCCTGACGGCCCCAACGTCTCAGGGCCAGGTAGTGAGGATTTTTATGATGCCCACAGGGACCCTTCTGGAGCAGGTCACCCGAATCCTCCGGCGCTCGCCTTGGCCTCTGTATTTGCAGTCGTCTGGGGGGGAGCCCCCACTGGAATGGCAGGTCGTGATTATGTAGCTGGCCAGGCTGTCCGAAGAGGTGTTGCTGGAATGCATTCCTCCGACACCACAGATAGTTTTGACTTGGATGTTGCTGGCGTGGATGAAGGTGTTCTTTTCCGTACAGGTGGGACTCGTCAGGCCCTGGGCTTTCATCTTCTCCTGACAGTAGAAATGGGGGTTGATTATAATCCGCATGGGGTCGACGTGTTCCCTCAGGAAAGTCTGGTAAGTAGCTTGGCTCTTGTCCACCAAGGAAACCAGGAAGAGGACGGAGAACGGGAGCGGTAAGGAGAGAAAGACCATGGCTGAGTCCTTCGCTGGAGAAGAAAGGGAGAGGAAGTGTTGGAGTAAAGGCGACTCACAATTCCTGGACACTGGAGAGCCCTGTATTTCCCTTGGCGCTATGTGTGAAGCCTTCCTCTGTCTATGCTAGAAGCTTCTCTCTGACTCCTCTTTCTCTGCCTTTGGTCTCCTGATCTTGCGGGAGGTGGCTACTGTGGATGTCTCCTGTGCAAACCAGGGGCACACCCAGGATTTTGCCACACACATGCAGGCCACTTGTAATAGGGAAAATAGTATTATTTGGATTAGGCCTCTGTTTCTTCTTCTGCTACAAAATGCACGTGAAGGTTGCATAGATGTGGCTTCTCCTATGGCAGTGGTGGCGAACCTATGGCACGGGTGCCAGAGGCGGCACTCAGAGCCCTCTCTGCGGGCACGCGTGCCATCGCCCCAGCCAGGCCCAGACTATCGTTAAAGCGTCGAATTCTCTGCCAAATAATTTTAAGTAAATGAAAGCATTTGGAATTGCTTTCCTTACTTTGTTTGGGTCATCTTAAGTTAATGTATGAGTTGTTTTTTTCTAAAGTAAAACCTCAGTATTCAGATTAAATCGCCGTGTTGGCACTTTGCAACAAATAAGTGGGTTTTGGGTCACAGTTTGGGCACTCGGTCTCTAAAAGATTCGCCATCACTGTCCTATTGCCTCCTGGAAACGGCTGTTCGGAGACTCAATTGTGGGGGAAAGTGGCTGGACCTTTCAGTCCCCTCCCCCAACTTGTGTGGAAGCAAGGCAGAACTCTGCAGAGGGAACAAGTGCTGGCTAAGAGGTTTGCAGCAATCTAGAAAAATGACCCAGACAGACAAAAGAAGATACTCATCAAACAAAAACTCGTCTAACGACATAGTCCAAAGCAATCAAAGGGCAGTATCTTCAAAAGCAAAGGGCTTAACGTTAAGGAACTTTTTGTGTGTGCCCCAACAAAGTGGGTGATTTTCTACTTCATACGTTTGCTAGCCATTAACATGAGTTGAAGTTGGAGTAAGAGAGATGTTAAAGGACTTTTTGTGTGTATGTCCATAAACCAGCAGGCTTTGGATGCCTGGCCCACTGAATGAGAACGGTCCATGTGGGCAGAATCTCACAGACTCTTAATTTACATTCTGAGACAGAAGAGCTTTTTTTGGAGGGGCGGGGAGCTAATGCCATTCAGTTCATAATATGCCTGAACGTTTTGCACTGGGGACAAATTCATACACTGATCCAGGTAATGACGCATTTTGACAACATCCCTCAACCATTCGTCAGACTTTTAAGAAACGGGTGCTGTGTGCCAAGATGAAGGCCAGGGTTACCTACTAGAGCCAGTTTGGTGTAGTGGTTAAGTGCGCGGACTCTAATCTGGGAGAACCAGGTTTGATTCCCCACTCCTCCACTCACAGCCGCTGGATGACCTTGGGCAAGCCATAGTTCTGTCAGAGCTGTTCTTGAAAAAGAGCAGTTTCTGTCAGAGTTCTCTCAGCCCCACCCACCTCACAGGGGAGGGGAAGGGAAAGGAGTTTGTAAGCCGCTCTGAGACACCTTTGGGTAGTGAAGGGCGGGGTATAAATCCAATCTCCTCCTCCATTTATGTTCAGTTGGGCAGCTACTGTGGGAGTCAGAAACAGCAGTGAACTCTCTACCCTGCCAATCTCAGGGATGGGCAGGAATCGGCCAGGGATGGGCAGAGGATCGGGAATAGCATAGGGATGGCAATGGCAACCTCCAGGTGGGGCCTGGAGATCTGGAGTTACCACTGAGCTCCAGACAACCACAAACAGTTCCCCTGGAGAAAATGGCTGCTTTGGAGGGCGGAGTCTATGACATTATGCCTCACCGTGTTCCTTCTCCTACCCAAAACTCTACCCTTCCCAGGTTCCACCTCAAATCTCCTGGAATCTCCCAACTCAGAGTTAGCAACCCATAGCACATGGGGTAAAGTGTGTGTATGTGGGGGGGGGCAGCAGAAGTCACTGTTCTGCACACGGAAATGCCATTCTGTCGGAAGAACTGCATGATTCATGCTGCTACCGGGAGGGGGGAAAAACCCCCGTAGAAATCCTCACATCCTATAACCCATCAATCCTATGGCTGTATGCAGTGATTTGCAGAAAGAAAATGAACGTGGGTTTCATGACGTCTCTGTAATTCCCTGTCAAAGAAGGTAACACCAACAGTGTTATGTTTTATGCTTTAGATCATCAGTTTACAGTAATCCCCAATGAGATTTCCGGTAGAGAAAGTGACAATGCTATCCCTGTAAAGACAACTTTGGTAACACTTCAAGGAAATCCTCTTTTCTCTTCAGCTAACTGCCTTCTTCCCCCTTTCTCTTCCATTTTAGGGAAGGATCCCCCCCACAACCACCACCCCTCTCCCCCACAGAAGCAGTTTATCCACATGGTTTTTGCAACTGACCTGCACCCAAATGCTTTCGAGTTCTCCACTGCTTGCAGTCTTCACCTTAGATGGTTCTTGGCAGCACAAAATGGAGGAAGGGCTGTGGAGGAAACAAGTGATTGATTTTATAAAGATATATTCCAGATAGATATAAAGATATATTCCACAAGATGTTCTCAACAGGTCAAAAGCTAGCCTCAGCAAATGCAGCTTGTGGAATTGTCTGTCCGGTAGTGGTCACGTGTTCCCAGGTCCCCAGAAGAGAGAGCGGTCATTAGAGACCTTGAAGAGAGGGAGGAAACCTGAAGAATGCTCCAGCTGGCGACTTACACTCATGGCGTTCCCAATAGAAACAAATAGGCATTCGCATTAGGAATTTTTAAAAAGTAAACGGCAAAATTTACTGTAGGTTGTGGAGGAAACTTAACAATAATAAAAATAAACATGTTTATTAATTGATGGCCATAAATAAGATAGAGGAGGGCTCCCCAAACCAGGTCATGAAGCCTCTGAAAAGAAGAAGAAGAAGAAGAAGAAGAAGAAGAAGAAGAAGAAGAAGAAGAAGCCGGCATGACTAAACACCAAGGCTGCACAGAACGCTGTTCCCTTCCTTCCACTGAAGTGGTACCTATTTATCTCCTTGCAATTTCTTGCTTTCGAACTGATAGGTTGGCAGGAGCTGGAACTAGAGTTTCTCAGCCTGTGGGCTGGGACCGAAAAGTGGGTCATGAAGCCTCTGAAGAAGAAGAAGAGATTGGATTTATACCCCGCCCTTCACTACCCAAAGGAGTCTCAGGGCGGCTTACACACTCCTTTCCCTCCCCCTCCCCACAACAGACACCCTGTGAGGTAGGTGGGGCTGAGAGAGCTCTTGACAGAAACTGCTCTTTTTCAAGGACAGCTCTTATCAAAACTTCGGCTTGCCCAGGGTCATCCAGCAGATGCAAGTGGAGGAGCGGGGAATCAGACATGGCTCTCCCAGATTAGAGTCCGCACACTCAACCATGACACCAAACTGGCTCTCTCCTTGTCATTTCCCTGCTTTTACAACCTGGCACATGTAGTAAACACATGACCCACTAGTAGAGGGCAGCAGTTCTGCACAATCAAAATGTGCAGGAGGATCAAAGCGTAGCTGTTCACTCCCCTCTGTCTGTCTCTGCTAAAATGCAATCTTCTGCACAGCAGTTACTGTGCCCTGGTATAAATCCTGTACGCTCATCCTTGGTCGTGCTGGGGCATACGTCTGCAAGAAGGCCACGCCCGTAGCTAACGCGGGGCCCACGGGGCCTGGCCCCCTAGCAGTTTTTATGGGCCCCCTTCCTGAGCCTCGGCTCCCCTACCCCAACTCCCCCTGATTGCCTGTCAACCTGTTGGCAGGGCGGACAAGGGCAGTGATTTCAGAGGCTATCCCTGGTGCTGTGCTGCGGAAAGAGGCACTGGGGCTCCTGGGGGGGGGGAGATGGACCCATAGGCTGTGGCTGCTGCAGCCCTCGCCCTGGAACCTTTGATTGGATTAGCAGGCGGGGGTCCCCCCAGGCCCCCTCCCTAAAAAGTCCTTAGCTACGGGACTGAAGAAGGTCAGTGTTAGATTATCCTGATACTGATTTTTTTTTTTTAACCACTGTTAAAGGAGACCCAAAGGAGCTGTGGTAACAGCCATTGTCGCTGTATCCTTAGAAGAGGTTCAAAAACCTGCTTCCCCCCCCCCCCTTAAAAAAAAAAAAAGTTCTGCTTCTGTGGGCATGCCATTAATAGACCCCGTTTTGGGTTGGTGCTGTGCTGCGGAAAGAGGCACTGGGGCTCCTGGGGGGGGGGAGATGGACCCATAGGCTGGGGCTGCTGCAGCCCTCGCCCCGGAACCTTTGATTGGATTAGCAGGCGGGGGTCCCCCCAGGCCCCCTCCCTAAAAAGTCCTTAGCTACGGGACTGAAGAAGGTCAGTGTTAGATTATCCTGATACTGATTTTTTTTTTTTAACCACTGTTAAAGGAGACCCAAAGGAGCTGTGGTAACAGCCATTGCCGCTGTATCCTTAAAAGAGGTTCAAAAACCTGCTTCCCCCTTAAAAAAAAGTTCTGCCTCTGTGGGCATGCCATTAATAGATCCTGTTTTGGGTTGGTGTTTTTTTTGAAAAAGAGGTTCCAGAACTCTCAAGAGGGAAATGAAGTTTTCAATCTGTTTACTGAAAACTCAAGAACTTTTAAACATTTTAAAAAGAATTTTGTCAAAGAGGTTCCAGAACTCTGTTCCAGCGTTTTCCCCCAGAAAAAAAAAGCCCTGAATAGACTCAACTCTGCAGGTGCCCTTTTGCTCAATCCTACTGGAAAACAAGGAGCTGCGGTGGCTCAAGTGGTTAAGACGCTGAACTGCAGGCTGTGGAAGGTCGGTAGTTCAGTAGTTCGAGACCCGAGTGTGCTGCATGACGGAGTGAGCTCCCGTCTCTAGTTTCAGCTCCTGCCAACCTAGCAGTTCGAAAGCAAGAAATGGCAAGTAGATAAATTGTAGGTAAAAGGTAAAGGTTCCCTTGCTCGAAAGCCAGTCATCTTTGGACAGCGCTGGCTCTCCGGCTTTGAAATGGAGAT